ACACACACACACACACACACACACACACACACACACACACACACACATATTATTATATTTATTATGTTATTTTCTTTTTAGTTCAGACTTCCAAAGTAAATTGGACAAAATATTAAAGTTCTTTAGGCTTTAAGTGACACATGCATATCTCAAGTCAAGTCAAGTCATCTTTGTTTTAAATAAAGTGTTTTTTTTTTATTTATATAATGTGTTGTTTAAAAAATAATGTAAAGTAATGTGACCAAGAATCATTGTTTAATAAGGGTTTTGCTGTTTATTGCTCTCAAAACTTCACGCTGGTGGCTTCAAAGGTTACTAAAACTTTTGACACAACAAATGTCAGGTCTAAACTTTTATTCTGAAAAGCCCCTCACCCTTGTTCCGGCGATGCTCTGCATCACTCCCGCTAGCTTCACATAGCTAGAGCGGCTCACAGTGGCACAAACGCCTGGCGGAATAAAAACAGACCGTCCGTCCATTCCCTCCCCCCCCCCAAAAAAAAAAGAAGAGGGACACCGCTGGTCTCTGAGGGCATTTACGATGCGTTGGCCCCGACATTTCAATGTTTCTAGTATCAATGACGCATGCCCAGTGATATGTCACGTATCACTGGGCACTTTTAAGTGGGTATAGGGAAATTCTCAAGCTTTTCTAGTGGGTATACAGCATATACCTGCGTATCACGTAAACTACACCACTGGGTTGGTTTGCTTTATTTTGGATTAGATTGGTTTGGTTAGAGTTGGTTTGTGTTGGTTTGATTTGGTTTGGTTTGGGATGGCTTGGGTTGGTTTGGATTGGTCTGGTTTAATTTGAATTGGTTGGGATTGCATTGGTTTGGTTTGTGTTGGTTTGGTTTTCTTTGGGTTGGTTTGGTTTGGGATGTGAAATATAATTTTATCAGATAATATATTAACTTAATGAAATGTCTAGATATATGTATCCCGTTTTGATATTGAGAATGATATTGTGTTAAAAACATGATCTGATTCCGTTTCCTGTAGAAAATGTAGTTTCAGCTAAATGCCTACAACTCCCAGACATTCACGCACCCACCCAATATAGAACACAAGATGGCTAGATATTATTGGTTGAGAGCTGGGTCACATGATAGAGTAGGACTTCCCATTCGTTGACGGTGGTGATCTTGTACTTTACATGTAAAATAAACCTTCTGAAATGGAAGACAATTGCTCCTCCTCTCCCTGCTTCAGATCAGAACACATTCTTACAGATGGCTTGGGTTGGTTTGGATTGGTCTGGTTTGCTTTGGCTTGGTTTGGTTTGATTTAGTTTTTTGTTTTGTTTCAGGGTAATGGTTTTTGGTTAACTTTCTTCTACTCTGGTAATGTTCCAAAAATAACATCTATAAGTAAAAAACAAATCCACTTTTTAAATGATAATCGCTTCACATGGCCGCTTGTTCTGAGTCTGGTTCTGCTGGATGTTTCTTCCTGTTAAAGGGATTTTTCCTTTCTACTGTCTCCTTTGTGCTCGCTCAGGATGGGAGACTGTGATGAAGTGAAGGTTCAACACAATCTGCTGCTTCCTTAGATAACTTTTACTAATTGTCTTTAAAAATTGGCAATGAAGAAATGGCAAACACAGTTTTCATTAATTAGGCAGCTTGATCACATGTGATGCGACGTATAAAACTGAAATATGAAAGAGCATTGCCGTTGCAAAAAATAAAATTTAAAAAATGCAGGATATTTAGCAATGGAAACTACTCCTGAACATACTGCGTATGGTCAGTCTGTACGGCTGTGAGACATGGGCCCTCTTGACAGACCTCATAAAGAACATAAGTGCTGCTGAACTGTGGTTTCTGAGAAGGATTATAAGAATCTTGTTCTTGGACAGTGTCACCAACATGGATGCTCTTAGAAGAGCCTGTGTGGAATGAGACCTAATCTTAACTGGGCACATTGTTAGAAATGGGTCTGGTTTTACAAGTTCAGTGGGAGAGAAAACAAGCAGGAGGAAGACAACAAGCAACATATTTAGACCAATTTAAAATTGTGCAACGCAAACTCTAACACTTATGTAATCAGCTGGACAGAGGTGGTCATAGATGGGCGCTCTTGATCACTGGTGTGTGGAGACACGTGTGGCACTTTGGAAGGAAGCTAACGGATGCAAACCTGGATTTTCAGTTTTTAACATGTGTACATATAGGCTGTGGATAGAAAATGTCTTCCTGATGTTCCTGCTCTTCAGCAGTAAAAGATGAAGCTGCACTGGTGTTGAGTCCTACCTGTGTCTGAGGCTGTGAGTAGGCCGAAGGCTCCTCTGTGGGTTTCATGATGGCCGGCTGTGTGCTGACCGTGGGGCCTGCCGTCTTAGGCGCCATAACTGTAGGTGTCTACAAACACAACGTACTTATTACAGTTTTACCTAGACACTTAGTCTGACACCAGAGAGACACAGCAAAATATCACACGTCGCCAACAATCAGACGGAAACGGCTCTACAATGAAGACCTGCTAAAACAACTCAAGGCCTGAAGAAGTCTTTTGGATAAAAGAGGAAACGTTTCAACAAAGAATCCGTCCAGAGGACCTGAGTCCACCTGGCTGGAACTAAAGGCCTCCCATTCTTCAAACAAATACATGTCACCTGTCACCTTTCATGTCAGAGTTTTACATTGAAACTGACAGAGCTGAATCAAATCCTGAAAATCACCAGCGATCTCATGCTTGATGCAGATGATGTCACGCTCAGTGTGTGTGTTGTGGATGACTCTTAGCTACTACCACATCAGATGTTAGCTCAATGTCAGTAAAACTGGATTGACTCCAAAAGTAAATGAGTTGCAGATGCACATCTGATACTGAATTCCTGAAAGTTACAGAGTATTTTGTGTCACTGTGTATACTTGTGCATTCTGTGTGTACTGAAGGTGTACATGTACTCACCGGCCTGGCGTCAGTGAATGGGTTGTACTCCTCCAGCCCTGCAGGGGTGCTCCGCTGTACTTGTTGCACTGATGGATCCTGAGAGGATCAAAATCACGTCTTTAAATCTCTTATAAATAAATGAGATGTACAAAATTCAGCCTGCTTGAATTTAAATTCCAAACACAGAGAGCTGAAAGTCAGGAATAAATAAAATGGTTCATGTGAGTGTAACCCTCCTTTATTCCTCCGTACGCAGGCATCAAACGCAACAGGCCTATAATTTAGTCCGGACAGAGACGAGATGATTCCAATAATTGAAACAAGACTGCAGCTAAAATAACAGCTGTAGACATTTAGCTGCCAAAAACACAAACAAAAGACATTTAGAGCTTAATGTGTGCGTCTCCTGAACAAAAAACCTGCTAAACTTGGATTTCAGTGCATATTTTCACAAAGCACAACCAGCGTGGTGCAGTGTCATAAATATTATACGAGAACTAAGAGAAGTAAAAAGTAAAACTAGAGAAGAACTCCTCTGTGGTCAGAAACTTTAAAACCAACAACTTTTAACAGATTCTGTCTGCAATCATGATTTTTTTTAAATTTACCATTTATTTATCCAGGTAGTCTCATTGAGTCACCAGAACTCATTTTCAAGAGAGACCTGTTTAGGAGCAGATGGTGGGTTGAGGGCCTTTCTCAGGAGCCCACAGTGGGGCGAATGAGGGTGGAGGCAGGTGTGGGTGTTTCACCTTTTCCAATCACATTTTGATGTTGACGATACCGGGAGTTGAACCTGCAACTTTTTGATCACAGGCCCATCTTCTCTAACCTCTGCACCACCACTCCCAATGAAAATCACATGAAAATCATCATCATCTTATTCAGAATAATATTTTGTTTAGATGAGAAAAGGAAAGAAAACATGAGGAGAGACGGTATAAAAAAAGATCTCTCACTCCGTGTCCTAGACAGGGCACGATTTGAGGCATCAAAAAAACCTACCACAGCAAAGCAACATCAACAGACGTTATACATGAACATATAGGCGGTGAAAACATTGAATTTTTAAGGGAAAGTCATAGCATAGTCCAGATGCCCCCCTCTCAGCCATTGTCCAGATAAGGTGACATTCATCATCAGCTCGGTTGAGGTTCTGTCACATGTCCACGGCCTTGGGGAAGGGAGGGGTGAGGAGACAGATAAAGCATCTTTGTTATATTCTAAACATTCCAGGAGGAGTTGAGATAAGTCCGGCATCAAGGCCACAGTTTGGGTCAGGCAGAACTCATGAATTGTTGTTTCTGCCTTTTAAAGTCTCGCTGGTACATTTCAGTCCAAGCAACATGCGACTAAGGTGGTCGCTGAGGCAAAAACTTGGGCATGGGAGGAGTTCGGAGAGGCCATGGAGAATGACTTCCGCACGGCTTCAAGGCGATTCTGGTCCACCATCTGGCGTCTCGGGGGGGGGGGGGGGGTGTACACCACCAACACTGTTTATAGTGGGAGTGGTGTGCTGCTAACCTCAACTCGGGATGTTGTGAGTCAGTGGGCAGAATACTTTGAAGACCTCCTCAATCCCACCGGCACGTCTTCCACTGAAGAAGCGGAGCCTGGGGACTCTGGGTCGGGCCCTCCAATCTCTGGTGTTGAGGTCACCGAGGTGGTTAAAAAGCTCCTCAGTGGCAGGGCCCCAGGGGTGGATGAGATTCGCACGGAGTTCCTTAAGGCTCTGGATGTTGTAGGGTTGTGTTGGCTTACGCGACTGCAAGATTGCGTGGACATCGAGGGAAGTTCCCCTGGATTGGCAGACCGGGGTGGTGGTCCCCCTATTCAAAAAGGGGGATCGTAGAGTGTGTTCCAACTACAGGGGGATCACGCTCTTAAGCCTCCCTGGTAAGGTCTATTTGGGGGTTCTGGAGAGGAGGGTCCGTCGGATAGTCGAACCTCGGATACAGGAGGAGCAATGCGGTTTTCGTCCTGGTCGTGGAAAAATGGACTAGCTCTACACTCTCAGCAGGGTCCTGGAGGGTGCGTGGGAGTTTGCCCAACCAGTCTACATGTGCTTTGTGGACTTGGAGAAGGCGTTCGACCGCGTCCGTCAGGGAACCCTGTGGGGGGTACTCTGGGAGTATGGGGTACCGGGCCCTTAGATATGGGCTGTTAGATCCCTGTATGACTGGTGTCAGAGCCTGGTCCGCATTGCCGGCAGTAAGTCAGGCTTGTTCTCGGTGAGAGTTGGACTCTGCCAAGGTTTCCCTTTGTCACTGATTCTGTTCATAACTTTTATGGACAGAATTTCTAGGTGCAGCCAAGGTGTTGAAGGGATCAGTTTTGGTGGCCTTAGGATCACGTCTCTGCTTTTTGCAGATGACGTGGTCCTGTTGGCTTCATCAGATTGTGATCTACAGCTTTCCCTGGAGCGGTTCGCAGCAGAGTGCGACGCGGCCGGGATGAGGATAATTTCTTCCAAATCTGAGGCCATGGTCTTGAGCCGGAAAAGGGTAGAGTGCCCTCTCCAGGTCAGGGAGGAGGTCCTGCCCCAAGTGGAGGAGTTCAAGTATCTTGGGATCTTGTTCACGAATGAGGGAAAAATGGAACGTGAGATCGATAGGTGGATAGGTGCATCGTCTGCAGTGAAGCAGGTGCTGTACAGGTCTGTCATGGTGAAGAGAGAGCTGAGTCAAAAAGCGAAGCTCTCAATTTACCGATTGATCTACGTTCCTACCCTCATCTATGGTCATGAGCTTAGGGTTGTGACCAAAAGAACGAGATCTCGGATACAAGCGGCCGAAATGAGTTTTTTCCGCAGGGTGTCTGGGCTTTCCCTAAGAGATAGGGTGAGAAGCTTGATCATCTGGGAGGGACTCAGAGTAGAGCCACTGCTTCTCCATGTCGAGAGGAGCCAGTTGAGGTGGCTCGGGCATCTGTTTGGGATGCCTCCTGGACGCCTCCCTGGTGAGGTGTTCCGGACACGTCCCACCAGGAGGAGACCCAGAGGAAGACCCAGGATACGCTGGAGGGACCATGTAGCACTTTGAGATTTTTGTTAATGAAAAGTGCGTTACAAATTAAATTCATTATTATTATTATTATTATGTTTCTCGGCTGGCCTGGGAAAGCCTCGGGATTCCCCCGGAGGAGCTAGACCAAGTGGCTGGGGAGAGGGAAATCTGGGCCTCCCTACTTAGGCTGCTACCCCCGCAACCCGACCCCGGATAAGCGGAAGAAAATGGATGGATGGTATATTTCTCTGATGGAAACTCCAAACAGCCAAACTGATTCCTTTAAAGTCGAGCTCACAGCTTCTCCAAGATTAATCCCATCTTCATGTGTGCTGTTAGAGAGTCCACAGTCCTGATAACAGCTGCTCCAGCTCTGACGCAACTGCATATAATTCAGTCTGAGCACTGTCAAGCTTCGACACATCCACACAAATTTGTAGACAATCCAGAATTCACCAGCCAAACAGCAAAATAACCAGTTGTCATCATGAATCCAATTTGTTTCTGTCGAGGTAAGAGGGTCCTCCTTACCCTGACTCCTGTCGGGAGAAGTTTATCAATTTTGTTGAGAGACCAGCTGATCCTTCGAATTAGGAAGATATGCAGGA